CGGCCCCGGCCCGCCCGCAGCCCGCCCGGCAGCGCCGGCCCCGGGGGCGGCCGCGGGGCCTGTGCGGAGCGCCGCCGTCCTGCGGAGGCCGGGCACCGCGCGCCTACGGGCGGCCGCCGCTCGCCTCGGGGCGTTCGGAGCCGCGGGCCGGCCGCCGTGCGGGGAGAGCCGTGCGTGCCTCCGAATGGCTCCGCTCCCGCGTAGAGCGCCGCTCCACGGCCCTCCGCCCAGGGAGGAGTGTTGGCCCCCGCGCTTCCCTTTGCCGCAGCGGGGGCAGTCCCGGGCCGGGTGCTCAGAAGCCGGCGTCGCTTCAGCTCTTGGTTTGAGGCAGGTTCTGCGAACCGCCTTTGCTCTGTGGAGACTGAAGGCGGCTCGCGGAATTGAGCTCGCCCCGCTGCGTGCTGCAAAGGTCCGAGGGGAGGCTGTGTGCATCATCCCGGCTTTGTCCAGAGATTGACGAGGGAAAGGCCTTGAGCATGGTGGGAGATAAGGAATTACTAATTGCAAAAGGTCGTACATAAATACAGAGAGTGGCATCCACACCTATTGTGCATACATGCGTGTCTATACATTCCCTATACATTCTTGCACACATGTTCACGTGAGCAAGCTGTATCCACAAAGCCAAACCAGCTAACTGGAAACTCAGGCTGAATTTTTATGGACTTGAGGTCCACATAGGAAACTGGTGGCACACAGCCAGCAGTGCTGACCACAGGCAGGATGGAGGCAGTCCTACACCAGGTGTGACCAATGTGAGAATCCACCCGGCTGCTGCTCAGTCATCATCACACTGGGGAGAGTCACCTGGGTGCCCTGCAAGTGTCACAAAGCTGGTGGGGAGCTACAGAACAGGGCACAAGCGGGAGCCCCTCCGCCTCTCAAAGCAGCAGCAAAGACTCAGGGGAGAGCAGCAAAGACAACTGAAAACATAGAGCGCCTTTGGTACCTAAGTGACTGCACAGTTTGGGGTCTTTTAGGCTGTAGAGACGGTAGTGGAGAGGAGCAGGGACAGATTGCTCCCTTTCTTTTCTAATGTAAGAACTAGAGAGCATCAAATGAAACTAGCAGGTGGCGGGTTAAAAGCGGATAGGAGGAGGAGGCTCTCAGCAGTTATTTGAACAGTGGTATTTCCTGCTTTAAGGCTCTGAGAGGTCACAGGGCATCAAAAAGCACCCCAGCATGCTCACAGAAGGAAAAAACACAAGGTGCTATTAAATGTAAAGACTGCATCAAGCTGCCCCCTAAGCAAGAGATTTCTAAAGGCTGGAAGCTCTTTTGTGGCTGCAACACTATCCATAGATCTTTGCATCTCCATCTCAGCTGAATGTGTTTTCTTAACGTGTTTTGCTTCAAGCACTTAGTTATAGGTGTTGCAAAGGGCCCAACCAAGAATGCCCTCAGTCTGCCCAGCGCTGCTCGGACAGCTCACTCTGCAGATGGAAAGGCCGGCCAGGCTGGTTTTGCAGTGCTCTATGGCTGCTAGCATTTTCAGTGCACACTCTTAATTTGTTTGCTGAATGAGTGAGCTATGAAAGTCCATAGTTGATGTATCAGCAGATGCCACGGGAAGAATGCTTACAATCACACTAATTTAATCTCACATTTAGAGGACAACGTATTCACACAGTGGGCAGGCTGTGAACAACACTCATGGCTTTTGGTCACAGAAAACACAGTTGCCTTCCTGGAGGAACAATAACCAGTAAAATTTTCAGCTCTCTCTTTCCATTTGTTCCCGCTGCCTTCCTCTGATCTCCATGGGGCTCACTCAAAGGCATTAACAAAGACATTCCTCTCCATGTCTTCTGCAATGAGAAGTTCACAGGATGTACTAGAAGTTAAATCTTCTGCTGTGATACTTTCACAATGTTGAAAGGTAATGGGAGTGCTTTTTGACACGGAGCTTCCAACGATGACTTCATTCTACCCAAAAGCAGAGCTCTTGCTTTCCTGACTTTGCTGTTTCAGACCTGGCAACATTCAAATCAGAAGATTTAACCACAGAGCGTCAAATATTCAGAGCGTTTTCTCTCTAGAATTGCCAAAGTTTGCAGCTTGTGCTATTCATCATCTCCCACAGGGAATCAGTTGATTCCATTAGCACCCTGCCCGCCATTCGCAGATTAACTGTTCTGGCCTGGCCTTGATTTCTATGAGAAGGAAAAAAAATCCTTGAAAATGGGAATCCATGAAGTTCTGGAGGGTAAATAAGCCATCCAGCTTATTTTTGAAGTTTAATAATATTTAGGGAACTGCTCAGTACCACATGCCAGCAACACCACCCCGATGGTATTCACAGCATTCAGAGTGGTTTATTAAGGCATTTCAGTGCAAACTCACCCGTGTGAGACCTCTGCTCTCAGCTGGGTGTCATTGGCCAGCAGCTCTGCCCCTGAGAGCCTGAAAAGGGTGTCTCTGTTACAGAGTGCTCCTCAGCTCTGGTGTTATTTCAGCTGTGCTGATCTGATTGCTAAGAATGTAGATGGTAGGAGCGCTGCTTTGTTGTTGTTGGTAATAATGACATAAAACCATTCCAGGATGGAAAAAAATCTTGTTGCTATTTTAGTATTGTGAAAGGATGTTTCAGGGTGACTTCAGAGCAGGAATGTCTGAATTATCTAAAGAAAGTGCTCTGAGCAAGATATTTTTAATCAACACTGTAAACAAAGTCTTCTCCAGCCAGCAGTGAGTGCAGTTTGCAAAATGTGCCAAAAAAAATGAGCCAAAAAAAAACAAAAAAAAAACAACAAAAAAAAAAAACACCAATGTGAGAATAAAGCTTTTCTTTTGCAGCACAAAGCCTCTAACACTTTCTGTAAAGGTAGGTGCCCTCATTAATTAAGCTGCTGCTTTACCCAGCTGCTAGGGGATTTGCTCAGAGAGAACCCAGGGGCAGAATAATAACCCACAGCAGGAATGACAGAAGCACAGCGTGGCTGAGGTGGGCAGGGCCCTCTGGCCCCTCTGCCCCAATCCTGCTCAGGCAGGGACACCCGGTGCAGGGGCCCAGGCCTCTCAGGGGGCTCTCCCAGTAGGAAGCTCCATGCCAGGGGTGGTGAGCAGAGGGGCATGGGGAATAAACCAGCTGTGGCACCTTCCCAGGGCATCATCTGGGTAGATGAGCCAACATGGACTAACCAACGCCCCACCTCTCATAATTGCCTCCATATTCCTGCTCGCCTCTACTGGGCAGCAGAGCATCAGCACAGGCTGTCACCCCACCAGCCCCTACCCCAGCAGTACAGAGAGAAGATTTTGAAGTTGTCTCAGAGCATTTCTGGCTCAGGCTTCCTCCTGATGGCAAACCAGGCTGTGCTCTGTGCCCACACATCTGTGGGGCTAGGCACAGACAGCCTGAGACTTTCCTATTTGGCACGATCCCTGTCTTACCCTGCAGCACAGACTGGGTGATGGCTGAATACAATCCTGGAAAAAAAGAAGCCAACTGTAAAGAAGCAAAATATAAATGTTTAATTTTAGGCTCTTCTACCTCAAGTAAAAGCGGTCACTGCAAGATACAGAGCCATTTCCAAGACATAGAAACATAGAATCACAGAATGGCTTGGGCTAGAAGGGACCTTAAAGCCCCTCTCAACCCCTGCCATGGGCTGGGTGCCCCCCAACAGCTCAGGCTGCCCAGGGCCCATCCAACCTTGGGCATCTCCAGGGATGGGGCATCCAAAGGTCTGGCTGCACTGCACAAGCCTCACTGCCCTCTGAATAAAGAATTTCCTCCTAATGTCTAGCCTCAGTCTTCCCTCTTGTAATTTAAAGCCTTGCCCTTGCCCTATCACTATCAGAATGTGTACAAAGTCACTCCCCCTCCTGCTTGTAAGCTCCCTTCAAGTACTGGAAGGCCACAAAGTCAGAACCAACTTTGAGGCTGTGGCTGTTTTGGCTTTTCTAATCAGTGTTTAATGATTAACAGACAAGTAAGTGCTGTATAAGGAGTGCTGCCTGCTTTGGAGCTGCCCAGGCTGACCTCCAGAGCTTCAGGACATCTTCAGCACGCCCAGCTTCCCATTCTTCCTTGGCACAAACGGATCCACCTTCTGCGTGTGCTGAAATAGCTGAAGTCAAGCTCATCTACTGCACCTCTGTTGCCAGCCTGCAGAGTCCAGTAAGTTCATCTTCTGAACAGCAGCAGCTGGCTCTGTGAGCTGTTTCTGGAGCGCAGCTCGGCAGTGACTCATCTCTCCTGGAGCCCATCTCACTGCACTTCTCCCTCAACAAGTCATTTCTGTCGCTCTGACCGTTGCCCCTCTCTCGAGTTTGCTCAGCCAACACAGCCCAGGAGAGGCTCTCGAGGCAGGGTGCCAGTGCTGGGCTGATAACCAGCAGTGGCAGCATCGACTTGCAGTCCTCTGTTCCCAGAATTGGCCGCCTGCTGGGGTCCAGCTGGGTTGGGCTCGTGGGGAAGCATTGCAGCAAAGCAGCTGGAGGTACTGAATCCTCATGTATCAACCCCCAGCAGGCTTGCTCTGTATCTGTAACAGAAACAGGTCAAGGGAGGGGAAGGAGGGAAGAGAAAATCTATTGGCTATTAATAGCAAATATGAGTAGCAGCTTTATTTTGAATGCTGTACTTAATCAGTGATGTACAGAAGGCTCACAATGCCCTTTACCTGCTGACTTGCCACATACAGATCAGAGAGAGGCCGACAGATTAAACAAACTTTGCAAAGCAGGGGAGTTTTAAGCAGGCAGAGCTGAACATCCGAACTGAAAAACAACCTGGGGATATTGCTCAGACAGCCTCAGCACCAGCCTGCGTGCAGGGAATTCAGCCTCTCCCCAGCCCCAACTGCCACCATTGGATTTCCTCAATGTTCTTGTTTCGCTCTTTGTCTTTATATCTGTGTGGATGGCAAGTCCCCTGAGATAGCAATCGTCACATTCAGTGTCG